CACATATAGACATGTTATGACTTTTGGCAGCTTCAGGCAACACATATAGACATGTTATGACTTTTGGCAGCTTCGGTCAACACATATAGACATGTTATGACTTTTGGCAGATTCGGTCAACTTATAGAGACATGTTATGACTTTTGGCAGCTTCAGGCAACACATATAGACATATTATGACTTTTGGCAGCTTCAGGCAACATATATAGACATGTTATGACTTTTATCAGCTTCAGGCAACACATATAGACATATTATGACTTTTGGCAGCTTCACTTACAATGCAATATCTAACTACCGTGACATTTTGTCATGTCAATGCCTTGTTAAAACTCTAAGGCCACTTGGAGTAGAAGACTCTCTATTTGGGATATTATCCACATAACAGGAAAGTAGAACCCCTCCCCTCCCTTCCTCTACCCATTCAGTGATCTCGGGAGGAAAAGTATGATACTATTATTAATGTCAGTTTTGAAATTAGATATCTTTTAATTGAGTGTTATTGCAATTATGCTGTCATTCTCAACTATGAAAAATCACTTCAGCAAGAGGAGGCTCATTAAAAACCAATTTGTGTAATAAAAACATATTTCTTAATTATTGTACTATGATAAATTGAATAATTTGGGTTCAATTGTACAAGGTGGTACAAAAACCAAGCCCTCAAATTTCAAATTAATTTTCAATTATCCAATAAATAAGTTTAAGTGTGACATACTTTATTCAAGTAAAAGTGTACAATTCATAATCCATGGCTAGATAGCATCCTTAATTTTCATTTGGTATGCAAATTATGATTTTGTATCAAAAATTAAAAAAGTTATAGCATTTTGAAAAAAAGTGGCGTTTTTTGGCCCACCCTGTATAATCTAACAGTGTTAGAATATTTGAATAGAATATAATTTAAAACATTCACATTTAAAAATAGATCAATGGTTTACAACTCATTTAAAATTGTAAGGAAACTTCCTGGACATGTACCCCCCTAGGAATTCCCTTTATGCCGGGATACCCTGGGACGACTGTCAGGCTACCGCGTTGACATCACCCCTCTTTACCAGTAGTGCAGGCTTGTTGCTGCGCACTGGGGACCTTTTACATTAAAACATAGATCTATATTAAAAACACACCTATTTAATTGCAGTTATTGACATAGGCATAGTATGATGATTTAAAACTACTTAGACTGTCACAGTCTAAGATGTCACCCGGTAGAGTTTTCCATTTAGCTATTGTCCTGGGGAAATAGTTCTAGCGTTGTATACTGTATGTGGCTACCTATTTCAAATTATAAAAAAATGGACGTAATGTTGTCAGTTTGCGAAAATATTTCATCATCTATTTAAGGAATAAATAATGATAGGCCATTCAATATGGTGAAATTCAGCACGAGTTGGACAGAATGTTGTACAAAGCACGAACCGAAGGTGAGTGCATTTGAACTAACATTCTGTCCAACGAGTGCTGAATTTCACCATATTGAATGGCCTATCATTATTTATTCCGATTCAAACATAAAAATTAGTAAAAGCCGTGTCTGTGGAACGGGCATGAAGGAAGAATACGCATGCTGTCAAGATTCTGAAGTCGGCCGGAAAAATTTTAGAATTTGTTTGGGCTGTTCTATTTTACTCCCCGTTTTAGATCTTATACGGTGTATAAACTTGAAGTCAGCCATAGTTAAATAGTTACAGTAGTTACGGAGGGAGTAAAAAAGAACAGCTATCCCCGGACAGAGCCCCAGATGTGCAGCTGAGATGTGACGTCACTCAAAACAATGCAAATTGCAGATTGAATAGAGCATGGTCGTGCATCTATGGAGAATTAGAGAACGTTCTATATTGGCTATGCTGCATTCTGATTGGTTGAGAAATTCGAATAGAGCACGGTCATGTTTGAATACATAATACGTTACATTTAATTTCAATTCAATTATTTTTCTTTTTATATTTTTCTGTTTCTCTGCCCTTGATTTTTAATTGGCTTCCATTTTCGAAGATTGTTCTAAATCAGATGTCCTGTGGCCATTAGGCGTATTCCTATAAACTATTTAGTTGTTTTCCGAATATATAGATGGACAAATGGACAAACGAATGGGTGGCTTTTCTATCTCTGGGGATCATCTGGAAACCAAGACAGGTTGTTCTAGTCTCAAAATAGATGTTCTCTCATTTTTAAGGATTTCCGTCAATTCTAATTAATGAATATCATGTATCAAAATTTGAAAACAGTCTAATATTTTACTCTAAATAAACTTTAAATAGGTGTTCGCTATTTTGTCTATAAATTACTATGCGCTTGCATTGCCTCTTGAAAGTTACAAGCATATAGTTACACGCAGGAATTATGGCATTCGGTAAAATGCCTTTTGAAACAATGTGCGTCGGTATAATGGGTTTCGGTATAATGCAGTTGGTATAATGGGTTTCGGTATAATGCGCAGATCCCCTCATATACATTATACCTTGTTTCAAATAGTAATGCACTAGGCACTAGAACATTAGGCCATCATGACTTATTAACTTGCCTTTCCTAGGGGTATTAATATATCGATGTAATTCCAGGTTAAAGAGGGTGGTACTTAGAAAACCAGCGCAGAAATTGTCACCATGGTGATGTGTTACCATTACTTTGATCAGTAATATCCAAAATAATATCCCTGTTGTTAATTATATCTTAATTGATATTGTATTGATGGGTGCATTATCTTGAACAATAGGGTGCATTATGTTGATTTATGGGTGCATTATCTCAATTAATGGGGTTAATTTTCTTATTCAGGTGCATTATCTCAATAAATGGGGTGAATTTGCTCAATCAGGTGCATTATCTCAATTAATGGGGTGAATTTTATCAATTAATCAAGTGCATTATCTCAATTAATGGGGTGAATTTTATCAATTAATCAGGTGCATTATCTCAATTAATGGGGTGAATTTTATCAATTAATCAAGTGCATTATCTCAATTAATGGGGTGAATTTTATCAATTAATCAGGTGCATTATCTCAATTAATGGGGTGAATTTTATCAATTAATCAAGTGCATTATCTCAATTAATGGGGTGAATTTTATCAATTAATCAAGTGCATTATCTCAATTAATGGGGTGAATTTTATCAATTAATCAAGTGCATTATCTCAATTAATGGGGTGAATTTTATCAATTAATCAAGTGCATTATCTCAATTAATGGGGTGAATTTTATCAATTAATCAAGTGCATTATCTCAATTAATGGGGTGAATTTTATCAATTAATCAAGTGCATTATCTCAATTAATGGGGTGAATTTTATCAATTAATCAAGTGCATTATCTCAATTAATGGGGTGAATTTTATCAATTAATCAGGTGCATTATCTCAATTAATGGGGTGAATTTTATCAATTAATCAGGTGCATTATCTCAATTAATGGGGTGAATTTTATCAATTAATCAAGTGCATTAGCTCAATTAATGGGGTGAATTTTATCAATTAATCAGGTGCATTATCTCAATTAATGGGGTGAATTTTATCAATTATTCAGGTGCATTATCTCAATTAATGGGGTGAATTTTATCTATTAATCAGGTGCATTATCTCAATTAATGGGGTGAATTTTATCAATTAATCAAGTGCATTATCTCAATTAATGGGGTGAATTTTATCAATTAATCAGGTGCATTATCTCAATTAATGGGGTGAATTTTATCAATTAATCAGGTGCATTATCTCACTTAATTGGGTCGCCAAGTTTAAAATTTAAACAATAACCTTGCGCCTGGTTGAGAATGTGAAATCCTTTTGCCAGAAAAGGTACGATGAGAATTTTTCTCTTATTTAAGAAAATTATTTTTAGATCAAGTTGTATGGTATACCTGAATATATGACATTAGCATTAAATGTTGACTTCACCATCGAATGTCGTCCTTAGAAACATTCTCAATGAGTCCACACTGTGTATTTGAATTAAAGAGAAATAGGGTAGGTTTCCAAGAAAATATGTTTACGTAGGCCCAAGGTGAACACTCAAAACTGGTTAAAAAGACCATAACATTTTTTACTTGATTCAAAAAGAAAGAAATTCAGTGAAATAGGTGTGATCAGAAGGATTCTTTTGAAATGGGTTTGTTTAAAAGCAAAGTTTGTCTTTGCCAGATGGGGCTCGAAAGTGGTTGCAGCTCTGACTATTTGTTCATATTTCTTAGAAATGTAAAGTGAAGGAGGGGCTTAAAATAGGCAATCATTATCAAGAAAGGCATCTTTTCATAAGGCTTTATTTTCTAAATAGCCCTATTTTGAAAAATATTAATTGGCTTTAAAAGATGCCTCGCCTTTTGGAAAGTAGGCCAGAATTTCCAAAAATGAAAAAATAAATAATAAAATTTGATATAACAACCTCTTTTACCTGCATATCTATATAATTTTGATTGTAAAATTCATGCTTGTTTACATAATTTCTCACTGATTCCACCATTTTTGACTTGATTCTCCATTTCAAATGTTTGCCAAAATATTCTTGAGAAAAAACCTTGAATGATCTTCACACCCGATTTATAAATATTAGGTGTAAATACACATATTTTAGGTTTAAGTATGCATATTTTAGGTGTAAATACGCATATTTAAGGAAGGAAGAAAAGTATGAAATCCTATTTATAGTCATGATTCTGGGAATGTGTTTGAAGACTGAATAGATTTACTTAACTTCGGAGAAAGCTTAATTAGTTTTACTGTCTCATGTTCCACATCTATTGTAGAAGAACAGAATCCTGAAAAGGTTTAAGGAAAATTGAAATAACACCTGCTGATATGCCCTTTTTCTAAAAACAGCATGTACTATAATAATACTACTTGATTGTTGTATTATTTATTAATTTTTAACAGTATTGTCATATATTTGATGATTTGCTTTGAGAGACCTCTATTTCACGATTCAGTTATTTTTAAAGGTTGATTGTTTCCTTTGAGATCTACTTAATTACTAATTTGTTATTTTCATATATATTGATTTACTTTCAGAGCCATCTGCTGATACATTTAGGAGAAAATCCATCACTGAGAGATTAATGTCTGCCAAAGAATCCGAGTTTGTTGTCAGTTCTGTCATGGTAGGTTCACTAGAGACATTAGTATAGTAGGAACAAGGGGTTCCCATGCACCCATAAGGTGTGAATAAGTTACATACATTTTTGTAATCCCTAGGATGTCTATTTAATGAATTCATTTGTTAACATTGCCAACTAATGTCCCATAGTACTTTTATGGCGGCATTCAGTTACCATGGTTACGCATCTTTAGACATCTTACCTTGGTATCTTAAATCATTTGTAGCTCTGTCATTATTTGGTCTATAGAAATGATGTTGGTACCAAATTAAACCTTGTTAAATTTCCAATAAATTCCTGATATTCAATTATGCAAATTATCTAATTTGCATAAATTATGACGTCATCAATCTATTTTTGGTTCAGAATTTCCAACTATAGCAACGTATCTATAAGAACTGAGGCCGTATGGCAAAATTTCTGAAAGGTTTTGTCCTTTATTCTATTAGTAGAAGGTATAAGCAACATAAAAGTGAAAACAGATTCAAAATTGAATCAGTATTACGAAAGTTATGTAACTTTCGAGGCAGCTATCGTGAATATCATTATTTGACAATAATATACATACGTCTTACCTTGGAGTCTTGAATCAATGTAGCTTCGCCATTATTTGGTCTATAGAGGTGATATTGGTATCTGATTAAACCTTATTAAATTTACTATATGGTTACAATATTAAGTTATGCAAATTAGCTAATTTGCATTAATTGTGACGTCATCAATCCATTTTTTTGTTCAGAATATCGTAGTATAGCAACATATCTATTAGAACTGAGGCCGTATGACAGAATGTGTGCATAGTTTTGTCCCTTATTTGATGAGTGGAAGATATAAGCAACATTAAAGAGACAACGAATCTTCAAAATTGGATCAGAATTAACAAAATTATCCAGCTTTGGAGGCAACTACCGTGAACGTCATTGTTTGACAATTATAAAAAGAACATTAAATTAACAAAAAAAGTAACAACCATAGTTGTTTCAATCTTATTGAGTAAAAATGTGCATGTATTAAACTGAACTAATAAGTATGTGGAAAGGTTACATGCATTTTGACTATCATTCACAGGGGTCAAAACAGTTATCTCGACCCTGTATATCAAAGATCCAATCTTATAATTTACCATGCACTTTGAATGATTCATATAAATTGTATACATGTAGTATGATTTTCATCATATTCTTCATATTCTTGATTCTTAAAGCATCTGAAGTATATAGCATGATTAGAAGTGAAGATGATTCATCATATGGTTTATGTAATATTTCTAACATTTCAGATGCTATGGTAACATCACTTGATAATGAGGTTTTTACATTTCACGTTCTTAATGAGTTAAAAGAATGAGTTAAAAGGAAGTTATTCTCCCTTTGCTTAAGAGATAAATAGTCACATGTTTAGAAAAATTATAACTTAATTAATTTAACCTCCCCCCCCCCCACCTGACAGCCCCCATATTTGAAGATTTTGGTGAAAGCAAAATACATTAATTATTAGGTTCCAGAAACCCCCAGAAGCTATATGATGGCCCCCAGTGGCCCAGAGAATCTATACAGGGGCCCCAAGTGGCCCCCAGAAGCTATACTGTGCTCCCCAAAAGCTATATGTTGGCCCCCAGAAGCTGAATAGTGGCCCCCAGGAGCTATACGGTGGCTCCCAGAAGCTATACAGGAAACCCTGTGACCCGCAGGAGCTATACGGTGGCGCCCAGAAGCTATACAGGGGCCCCCAGTGGCCCAAAAAAGCTATACGGTGGCCCCCAGAAGCTACACGGGGGCCCCAGAAGGTATACTATGGCCCCCAGAAGCTATACAAGGGCCCCCAGAAACTATACTATGGTCTCCAGAAGCTATATGGTGGCCCCCAGTGGCCCTCGGAAGCTATATGATGGCCCCCAGAAGCTAATTAGTGGCCCCCAGGAGCTATACGGTGGCTCCCAGAAGCTATACAGGGGACCCCAGTGGCCCCAAGAAGCTAAATGATGGCCCCCAGAAGCTATACAGGAGCCCCAAAAAGCTACATGATGGCCCCAAGAATGTATATGATGGCCCCCAATGGCTCCCAGAAGATGTGAAGGGCCCCCAGTAGCCCCTAGAAGCTATACGGTGGCCCCCAGTGGCCCTCATAGGCTATATGATGGCCCCCAGAAGCTAAATAGTGACCCTCAGGAGCTACATGGTGGTTCCCAGAAGCTACACAATGGCCCCCAGTATCTATATGGTGGCCCCCAATGGCTCCCTGAAGCTATAAAGGGCCCCCTCAGTAGCCCCTAGAAGCTATACGGTGGCCCTCAGTGGCCCCGAAAGCTATATAGTGGCCCCCAGAAGCTATACAGGGGCCCACAGTGGCTCCCAGAAGCTATACGATGGCCCCCAGAAGCTATGCAAGGGCCTGCAGAAACTGTACTGTAGCCCCCAGAAGCTATACAGGGGCCCCCAGTGGCTCCAAGATGCTATAAGATGGCCCCCAGAAGCTATGCAAGGGCCCGCAGAAACTATACGGTAGCCCCATAAGCTATACGATGGCCTCCAGAAGCTATACAGTGTCCCCCAATGGGCCACCATATAGCTTTGGGGGCTACCGTATAGCTTCTAGGGGCTACTGGGGGCCCTGTATAGCTTCTGGGAGCCATTGGGGGCCATCATATAGATTCTTGGGGCCATCATGTAGCTTTTTGGGGCTCTTGTATAGCTTCTAGGGGCCACTGGGGTCCCCTGTATAGCTTCTGGGTGCCACTATATAGCTCCTGAGGGCCACTAATTAGCTTCTGGGGGCCATCATATAGCTTCTGAGGGCCACTGGGGGCCACCATATAGCTTCTGGAGACCTCAGTATAGTTTCTGTGGGCCCTTGTATAGCTTCTGGGGGCCATCGTATACCTTCTGGGGGCCACTTGGGGCCCCTGTATAGATTCTTGGGGCCACTGGGGGCCACCATATAGCTTCTGGAGACCATAGTATAGTTTCTGGGGGCCCTTGTATAGCTTCTGGGGGCCATAGTATAGCTTCTGGGGGCCCCCATGTAGCTTCTGGGGGCCATCGTATAGCTTCTTGGGGCCACTGGGGTTCCCTGTATAGCTTCTGGGTGCCACCATATAGCTCCTGGGGGCCACTAATTAGCTTCTGGGGGCCATCATATAGCTTCTGAGGGCCACTGGGGGCCACCATATAGCTTCTGGAGACCACAGTATAGTTTCTGTGGGCCCTTGTATAGCTTCTGGGGGCCATCGTATACCTTCTGGGGGCCACTTGGGGCCCCTGTATAGATTCTTGGGGCCACTGGGGGCCATCATATAGCTTCTGGGGGCTTCTGGAACCTAATAATTAATGTATTTTGCCAGGTTTCACCAAAATCTTCGAATATGGGGGCTGTCAGGAGGGGGTTAAATTAAGTTATAATTTTTTTAAACCAATTCATGTGACTATTTATCTCTAAGCAAAGGGAGAATAACTTTCTTTTAACTCATTAAGAACATGAAATGTAAAAACCTCATTATCAAGTGATGTTACCATAGCATCTGAAATGTTAGAAATATTACATAAACCATATGATGAATCATCTTCACTTCTAATCATGCTTTATACTTCAGATACTTTAAGAATCAAGAATATGAAGAATATGATGCATGGTCAATTATAAAATTGGATCTTTAATATACAGGGTAGAAATAACTGTTTTGACCCTTGTGAATGATAGTCAAAATACATGTAACCTTTCCACATACTTATTAGTTCAGTTCAATACATGCACATTTTTACTCAATAAGATTGAAACAACTATGGTTGTTACTTTTTTGTTAATTTAATATTCTTTTTATAATTGTCAAACAATGACGTTCACAGTAGCTGCCTCCAAAGCTGGATAATTTTGTTAATTCTGATCCAATTTTGAAGATTTGTTGTCTCTTTAATGTTGCTTATATCTTCCACTCATCAAATAAGGGACAAAACTATACACACGTTCTGTCATATGGCCTCAGTTCTAATAGATATGTTGCTATACTAGGATATTCTGAACCAAAAATGGATTGATGACGTCACAATTAATGCAAATTAGCTAATTTGCATAACTGAATATTGTAACCATATAGTAAATTTAATAAGGTTTAATCAGATACCAATATCATCTCTATAGACCAAATAATGGCGAAGCTACATTGATTCAAGACTCCAAGGTAAGATGTATGTATACTATTGTCAAATAATGACATTCACGATAGCTGCCTCGAAAGTTACATAACTTTCGTAATACTGATTCAATTTTGAATCTGTTTTCACTTTTATGTTGCTTATACCTTCTACTAATAGAATAAAGGACAAAACCTTTCAGAAATTTTGCCATACGGCCTCAGTTCTAATAGATACGTTGCTATAGTTGGAAATTCTGAACCAAAAATAGATTGATGACGTCATAATTTATGCAAATTAGATAATTTGCATAATTGAATATCAGAAATTTATTGAAAATTTAACGAGGTTCAATTTGGTACCAATATCATTTCTATAGACCAAATAATGACAGAGCTACAAATGATTTAAGATACCAAGGTAAGATTCTAAAGATGCGTAACCATGGTAACTGAATGCCGCCATAAAAGTACTATGGGACATTAGTTGGCAATGTTAACAAATGAATTCATTAAATAGACACCCTAGTGATTACAAAAATGTATGTAACTTATTCACACCTTATGGGTGCATGGGAACCCCTTGTTCCTACTATACTACATCTATTTAACTTTTAAGTTGTTATTTTCATATATCAGTTTCTAGTCACTTCTATCATGGTAGGTTCACTGTCCTCAGGCCTTATTCACAATGTGTCGCATCCTATGCGATTGCGACATCGCAATCGCCATCGCAAAAATTCTTATTCACAATCAAAGTGCGATTGCGACTTAGCAATTCAATCGCATTAATAGCGTCATATAATTGCGACTACCCTCTACCAGCCGCAATACAGTCGCAATATTAAGGGTTGCTTTATGTTTTAATTAAATGCAT